ACCCACTGTCCCTTTTAACCCTCTATCCTCCAGTCCAAATTCAGTTTGAAGTAAGCAGCCATACTCTAGTTAGCTGAGCAGTATTCACCTACCAGGGCTGAATTTGGAGAAAGTGGGAGAAGAGGAAAAAATCTATGGAAAATCTTCTCTCTCATACTGCTATGAATCCTGCATGAGCAGCACTCCGAACCCAGCTGTCGACTACAGCTTTTAAGTTCCTCATAAAGTCACCGTAAGCTAGACTCTAGCAGGCTCTTTCATTTTCATAAATCAAAATTTCTGATGCTGGTAAATCCTGAAAAGAAATAGCAGTTTTTTATGTATGGAGGTCATTTTGATAAAACTGTCCCAAGCAATGGCAGACAAGAAGCCTGTACTGCTGAAAAATGTTACTGTTGTCTGCTCAAAGCTGGGTTTAAATATTGACCAGCTGCATAGAAAATAGCATCAGATTTGTCAACAGCATGAAAAATAGCCACTGAGAAACCAGCACATTTCTCTGCATCCTAATGCTTCCAATTCCCAGAGACACCAAAGCGAATATCTTAAATTTGACATTTCATGGAAGGAAAAAAATAGCTGTTTGTATCAGGAGTTCAAGATTTCCTCACTGGGGAACTGCAGACTGCTCAGGTAAAGGATGCTTGAACCTCATTGATATTTTCTACCAAACGATGGTACTCTTTCCAAAAGTGATCTTGAGATACTCACTGTTGGTTTTACCAGTCTTCTGGAGCAAAACCTCCAGCTAGAAGTTGCATCCCAGAAGGCTCCCAAGCGCTTCAGAGCCGCAGCGAGCACGACTGGACAAGACTCAGGCAGAAACAAGTGTTTCTCTTTTCCCTCTGTGCCTGCTGCGATGGAAAAACCAACATTTATCCAGCCTGAAAGACCGTCAGGAATGTCACCGGTCAGGATTCGGAGTCTCTTTTGTCAAACGCGCGGCTGCGTCAAAGGGGTCACATGGGACTTGATAAATTTTTCATGCCACAATTAATCAATTTCAGCAGATGATTTTCCTCACTGGCGTGCTTCCCGCTTCCCCGGGGCACTTCATCTGTCACAGACGAACGGGATGGGGATTTGCGGAAGTGTTAATGGGGTGACTTTCCTGAAAGCCATCAAAATGTACGTGTGTGTCAGGTCAGGAATTTTTGACAGTCTCCTGGGAAGTGTCTGGAACTCTCCAGAGGGCAGCTACTTCTCCAGGTATACAGACAATTACTTCTTTGATGGGTTTTTTACAGCTAATGATTTAATTGTGGCCGGCATTGCTTTTACCATGCATAGAGATAGCTCAAGAAATGGAAATATAATAAAATACACTATTTACCCTATAAATACTAAAACACAAAAAGCACTTACGTGTGAGAGAGATTATTACAGTACTCATAAATCAAAGCAGCACAACAGCAAAGGAAAGAAAAATGAGGCATTTAGTTCTCACCTTATGTATATTATATGATATTCCCTCCCAGATTTAATAAACAAATAAAGCATATTAAAAAATATGCTTCTGATACATGATAAGCATGAAGATGAAATTGTAATCGAAAGAGTTCAAATCAAACTCAATTATTTCTTTATTTATTATTTTCCCTCAAGCGCTACTAATGTCATAAAAGTTTTCAGCTTGAAACACTGGTAGAAATGAAACATTCACGGTATCTTTTTCAGAGGCTGGAAACCTTATGCATGGAATGATTTCTGCTCTGGAATGTCTGTAATATATTGAAGCGTTAATACCTTGCTAATTGGTACCTTACTAATTAGCCCGTGACAAGAATTTTAATTAGATGCACAGTAGGTGTTCTCCCTACCTGCAGCAGAGGAGCTATTTCCTGGGGAGAAAAGTCAAGGGAAAAAGATAGTGGAAGGGATCAATAGAAGACAAATACAATCTAATCCCTACTATGGGAAGAGTGTACATTAATTAATATTTTTCAAAATTATGTCTTTGATAATTCATTCTGTTTTGTAAAGTACGTTAAACTTCACTTTGCCATTTGCTCCTTTCCCCTGTAGAACAAATTGTACTTTTTTTTATTTTTTTCCCCTGTGACTTGGCATGTGTTGTAAGCAAAATGAGAACTATTGGAACGTGACTGTAGTCAATTATGCTGACGGCCAGCCCCAGGGAGTGAGCTGAGTGCATCCCGGGCTCAAAGCACGAGTCTCCGTAATCCGAGTTAAAGAGCCGAGCTGCGTACCTGTGAGCTGGATCAAGATGAACAAGGCTGAAAAGGAGATGCCCAACACCTATTGCAGAGGATTTTTGGATGGTCATTTCGGATGAAGGCTATTTTAAAATCTGCAAAATATCTAGTGCAGTGAGAGTCTCAAAAATATAAATACAAAGTTTCTTCCCTCTCCGAGGAAGCCTGAGTTGCGTGTTTATAAATATAAAGTTGTTTGTTAGGCCTGGCAATAATCCCCAGCGGCAAAAGGGGCGATTCAGTTTCAGTAGGTAACAGGACATTCTGAAAAATGATGATCGGGTCCGGGGAACGTTTTATATAAGGAGATAAAAACATCAATAAAAGTAAGGGGAGGATGAATTGCACAAAAGGGAAAACCAGTTAATGATTTTTACCCCACTAAAAGGACACTTCAGGAGTGGGCTCTCTGAAGGAAGTGGAGAACTTGCTATACAATTTGCATTATTTGAAAAATACCTTTTTTTACTTAATTTTGACTGGGAAAATTCTTCCACGTGGTGAATAAGGTCACAGATGAGCCACGTTCCAGTGGATGCGCTGTCGATACTTGAAAGCAATAGCTAAGGAATACTTTTATCCAAGAGGCAGTATGAGGGAAGGGAGAATAAAGTTACACCTCTTTTGTTTTCAATAAAGTCAATCACTGTGAGACCAGTGATTTTTTCACAAATGCTAGAGAACATTGGTGGAAAGAGAACATTAATAAATGGAGAAAATCTCCATTAATAAATGGAGAGAAATCTGTAAGATTTCTGTAAGAGTGTAAAATTGGGTCGAGAAACTGAAAGATGTAATCCTTGTGCCAAAATCAAAATAACCCAATCTCAGTCAATTAATATGAACAGTATGTAGTCTGAAAACCAGTTGCGTGTTGTTTGTAGAATAATTCTGAATACAGGAGAAGTCAGAGAAAATTATGATGGCCTGTGACCCACTCTACAAATAATAAAAGTTAATCTAAAATTGTATTTGCTCTGAAGTATTCACTCAACTGCCCTGCCTGGTAAAAGATGCTATCTTTTCAAAGGTCTTTATTTCTTTATTAACCCAGCTGTCCTGTGAGATCTGGTCATTTATCATGGCAAATTTGTCTCCAACTATGAGTTCGATCGGAAACAGAAAGGAGTGGGGAACTCCAGCTGGGGTTAGTGGGATTACATCGGTTTTCATCTTTTATGGGCAGAGATTTAAGATCCAGGTACAAAGAGATTACTACTTGCTGTCTAATTAGGATGCAGGTTGGATCTGGTGTATTTTGAGGTAGATCTTGTTTTGCAGGTAGGTGTGAGTCTTCTTGGCACCTCTAAGCTAGCAAGACACCAATTACCTCCAGATCAGAGGCTGTGTGGCCACTTCTGCAAAGCACTGTACTGCAAGCTTTTATCTCTGCAGAAAGGCAGGATATATTAGCTCAGGCTTAATGCCATGCTACATACGTCTGTGTCACTCCCGGCTAAATTAGACCATAAGGGTGAACTTGACTATCCCTGCACACAGGCTGCAGCCATACCCTTTGTCCACTTCCTAGTGGGACAGCTGCTCACATCACAAAATGTCCACCGTAGGCAGCGCTTTAGCACAGCCTTTATCAGTACTCTGAGGATTGAACAGGCTATTTGGAAAAGGCAGTTACAATGTACCACCACTTCATTTGAACAGTGCATTTTGGAAGGGGAAAAAAAAAAACAAACCACCACCACAACAAAACACCTTTTATGTGATTGCCTTTCTTTCTCTGAGAAATAAAAGGAAACTGGTTTTCTATCCTGAGTCCTTTGGTGATGGTAGACTTCAGCATCCAATACCTTCATCCTTCCTGTTACATATGTATGTGGGTTTGCTATGGGATACGGTGGAATATTTTGGATTGCAGGCCTCTATGGAGCATCTCCTTTATATCCCAGGTGGTCCAAGGTTATTTTACACAGCCTAGTTGAGGTAAGGACATAGATTACAATGCAGGTCAGAAGCCCTAACCAGACTTGGCAGGGAGGAAAGGATATTGGTTTGCTAGAGTAATTACCCACAGGAAGTGGTGATGCTGACATTGGCTTCATTTTTTGAGTGCTGCTAAAGATATTTATCTTCACTCTGAAGGCTTTAGTCTTCCATGGTTTGAATGCTGGCTGTGAAGGAAGCTGTTTCTTTGCTCTATCCAGCGGTAGCGCTCTTTGAAACATTCTGAAGATTTTTATATCTGAAAAATGAAGGAAAATATATTCTTACTTCTGAGCCTTTTACTGGAACTCATTTAATCAGAGCCATACTGTCTTGAATTTGAATGAATATTTGGAGTGTATTTGCTTGAGTAAACAGAGGGTATTATGTTGTGGAGTAGAGATTTAGTTGCTGTTGTGTTATTTTTTTGTCTCCTCCACCCAGAATTGGCTCGAAAGGCATTTTCTAAACTACAAAATAATACCCAAATCTTTCATGATTTCTTCTCTCTTACATAATTTAAACTGAAGATTCCTTATTTAAGAAAACCTAAAATGAATTTCAGAGCTTGTGTTATGTAAGTCAGTTAGTTACATCAAGCAGAAAAACTGAATATTGCCTTTGGGAGAGAGAGAGAGACAGGGAAAACAAATGCTTGAAAGCAGAGTCTGGGGAATGGAGGACAATTTGGGGACCAGCTTCTCCGCAAACCATGCCACAGAGAGGCTGGCAAAAGGCATTGGGTACATGTGGGGCACCAGTCAACCTCAGTGGTTCTCTGGGATAGATTATGGATGCTTACATACGTATGTTTAGTCTGGGAATAATTCTCAATATTTTCACATGATCTTGTCTTCCAGAATGATTGAAGATTGTGGGAAAAGAGGAAATACCATGGCAGAGAGAAGGCAGCTGTTTGCAGAAATGCGTAAGTACTTCCTAGAAATGTTTCTCTGTGATAGACCAAGCCAGATACAATGCAAGCTTTCCACCTCAAGTAATTGATACCTCCGTTTCACAGATGGTTTAATGTTGTGAGACCAAAACTGCAGGAAAATGGGCTGATTTGACCAAATAGCAGGAGAGAAGGATTTTCTGCATCAGATTTTGTGATTGTATTATTTTAATCAATAGCTTCTTGATAGCTGCAATATGCTGCAATACACGGGTAGCAATGAAGAGGGATAAAGGTCTCCAAAAGACTACATCTTTTAGGAGGGGTATCTGTAGTGGGTTGACCCTAGCCAACTACTAAGCACCCACACAACCACTTGCTTAATCTCCAGCCAGCCCCCAGCAGGATGGGAGAGAATATAGGGAGAGCAAAAGCAAGAAAACTCATGTATTGAGATAAAGACAGTTGATTAAGTGACGGAAAGAGAGGGGAAAATATGATAACAAAAACCAAGCCATACCAACGTAGTAACCTGCCACCTCCTTAAAGCAGACTGATGCCCAGCCACTCTCTTAGCAATGTCCACCTTGGAAGACAAAACTCCCCACCCCCTTATTTCCCTACCCCAGTTTTATTGCGGAGCATGAGGTTATGTGGTATGGACTATCCTTTTAGCCAGGTGGGGTTATCTGTCATCTGTGTCCCCTCCCAACCTTCTGGCCACCCCCAGCTGGCTCTGGGAGAGGACAGAGTAGGAAACAGAAAGGCCTGGGTGTTGTGCAAGGACTGTTCAGCAATAGCTGAAACATCAGTGTGCTACCAACACTTTTTTTAGCTACAAATCTAAAACACAGCACCACAGAGGCTGCTATAAAGAAAGTTAACTCCATCCCAGCCAGACACAGTACAGGGACTCGTATACTACATACCCTACTTCTGCACGTTTGTTATAGTTTCTAGTGAAGCTTTGTGTTTTCTGCAGAATAGTGTGTCAGGGATGTAGTGTACTAACAATGTTCCTGCAGTTCTCTTGACAGTAATCTCTTATTTGTCTTACAAACAATCTACCATTTCTCAAGGTAATTATGTTATGTATGAAGTTTGAGACTGTCACTCTGTTACTAGATTTACCTAAGTTCCGTCTGTAATTACCAAGCTTCCCATTACTTGTCCCCTGCAACATAGTAAAAAAATGACAGAACATCTCCCCCATCTTCTGGGGGAGACTAAGATGAGCATCACTGGGACTTGAGCAACTGTGCACACTGAAAGGCCAGGTCTGCGCTGGTGAATTAGACGTCCTCAGGACTGTTCTCCAGGGGTGAGCCCGGGGTGAGCCCAGGGTGGCCAGATATTCTACATCTGCACTCCTGAGCTCTCCAGATTAAGGACTTCTCATTCAGATGGCCTACTGAGAGCGATCTTGGCCTGTTCCACTGTGTCCACTAGCTCTATTGTGCCCTGTAATTATTTCAATATCACACAAGGCTTGATGTTTAACTCAGATATTTCTCTTGTCCCTTGTGTACCACATCTTGGATGGGTAGAGGGAGGGGTTGTTCTTTGCCCAGAAGAAGGAAAAAAAAAAAAAAAAAGAAAAAAGGATGATGCATTTGTCCATTATCAGAATATACTATACTTCTAATTGGAATTACAGAAAGGACTTGAGCTTGTATCAGCTAAAGTCAATAGCACAACTTGCATTAACTTCAGCTAGTTTGAAATATTCCTAAAATGGTAGATAACTGCTTAAGACTTTGCTATGAGGATTTATGGTTCGTTCCCACAGTTTTGAAGGCTGTTTGGCTGTTGGATTGTTTTGGAGGAGTTAAGGAGGTGTTGGGAAAATGCACGATCAGCAGTTGGAGGCGGAGGAGGGACTATTTTCCCATACTGTACACAAATAGTTATTGTCTACTATTTTTTCTTTCACATTTTAATGTTTTGACACAGTTACTGGAGTCTGGTTTATCTCACGTGTGCTTTCCTTTTCTATTTGCCTGCCTCCCTTCCTACTACTACTACACATGCATGTTCCAGACTACACAAGAGAAAAAAAAAAAATAATCCAACTTTTCTTGCCTTTTTAAGTAGGAAATTTGTCCTGAACAAGAAATAGATGGATTTGACTCTCACTTTAGATTTGGGCAACTATGTTATTTTCCCTGTATTTAAAGAAATTTAGTTTGACTTTTTCATTTCCTTTTTTTCAGAAGAGGGATTTTTCTAGTTCCAAGTTACAAACTTCTGTGAATTAGTATCATAATCAATATCATCTTCTCTAGAGTCCAGTGGTTAAAGTTTAGATTGTGTCTTATATCTCAGAATACACCATTGGATGTCAAATCACTACCCTTAGTCTTACCTGACATGCTCAGGTATATCCAGACTGATGAGGAGAGTTCAAAATGTACATTACTACTGTGCTGCCAGCACATATTATCCAGCAAGAAAACAGCAACCGAAGCTTGCAATGTATCCCTTTATTATTTTTGCAAACTGCCCGCAGTGTTACATGAGATAAGCATATTCAAAGGCAACGGAGTGAAACACTGCCAGCGGGCAGAAGGAAGGAGAGGCCATTGGCAATCCTGTAGGCGAGGTACAAATTCACAGTCTCATTTGCCATGCTCAGTCCCGCACATCTTTTCACTTGTTTTTCAGGACTCTCCATCTAAGTGAAGTCACTTTGCTACAGAAGTAATTTGACAAATGGATCTCTGACTGCAGCAAAACATGAATCATGATTAAACTGAATTGTCTGTTTCAGGGATTTACCAGCAAAAACACCTACTCCCAAAATAATATCAAAATAATACCATCCACTGTGTGTGTAAATAGTAAAGGGAAAAAAAAGTGACATTATTGCCTATAAATTTGTTTATTTGGGATTAATACTGCAACCTAGGAAGCTCGAGTCTCACTTTGCTTTGAATCTTTACATCTTGTTAAAAGGCTGAAGTTTTATAAAGGAGCTCTGGAAGCTTTTATTAATAGCTTTCACTGAAGTTAAGAGGGAAAAAGTTAAATTCATTTTACTCATTGGTCCTATTAAAAAAGGAAGGACTTAGTGTTAGGAGCATTGTCTTCCCCTTTACCAGTAAAGAAGTTTTCCAAAAGCTGTCAGTGAGATGCTAATGGAGAAGACGACGACCTCTGCAATTTAACAATAAAGCATCTGGTGAAAAAAATTAGAAAAAAACTTTCTGGACCTCATGTTAAGTAGTTAGGGGTGACTTCTCCCAGGAACAGATGGTGTTAAGACAGCCAACTGGCAAAAGGGAGTAGCTGGGAGCCCTGGGAAGATGGTGTGGGAGAATCCAGAGAGGAGAAGAGCAGAGTCTGGGGAGAGGGGAGAATATCGTTCACATTTGCATCTCGCAGGTCAGAGCACATCTGAAAAATTTGGGTCCAAAGGACAGCAGATTGTTCAAGAAAGTGGGGGTGAACAATGCCGATGCAGCCACATGTGCACCAGTGCAGCTGAGCGGCCAGTCTAATAATGCCAAGATGAATCTTAAAGCATTTGGGAAGCATGTGTAAAAGCAGAATAGGGCCATATTCCACCCCCCTTCTCTTACAGCCCGACTGCACCTTGTTTGGGTGTGTTTCATGCAGACAGTTCCTTAAGAAACTCTGGTTTTTGTAACTTGGTACCTTGCTCAACTGAATAAAACAGGTTTTACTCCCATTAGAGGGCCAACCATAGTGAAAAAGCAAATACACAGAAATTTAATTGAATGTGTTTCCATGAAATACGTGGTACAATTAATAAGCAGTCTTGTATTTCACAGGCCATATTGTAGCTTTGAGGCAACACTTCTTTGTGTAAGACATGCCAGCCAAGAAGGAGAAGGACTTAAATCACAATCTCCTCATCTACTTTTTGAGGGTTTTGGGAAGTGTTACGGGGGGTACACAGCAGCCTGAGGCCTAGAGACTCTGTGCCAGGTTCTGCCGCCATCCTGGTCCCTCTCTGCTGCGCTTGAGTGGGAAGGAGCTGCCAGTCGGTTCATACCCATCTCCTGGGCAGCTGCTTTGGAAATGTTGCCAGATCTTTAAGTTGGAGCAGCCAGGGCCAAGCTACGTGTGAAGCAGAGAGCTGACCCTTTGAGGTCTCCGTTGCAGAGAACATAGCTCCGCAAAGTGGAGAAAGGCCTCACACCCTTTACATTATTTTTGCCCCCTTCTGCAGACTGCTATCAGTCTTTTCATTACAGCATGATATTGTTTCTAATTTGGTTTGCTGACAATACCTTGTTCTGATCTGGCATGTCAGCCAAAGGTACTTGTTATGAGCTTTGTTGTTAAATATTAAAATTAGATGAAGGTTCTCCCTGCTGTTGGAGCCTGGCCAGTGTGTCTTTTAGCCTGCAGCTTGACCAGATTGTTCTTCAAAGTGACAGACACAGTGGGCTGACTGTTCCTTGCCTTCCTTTATAAAAGTCTTTTAACGCTGTAGCTCCTGCCATTCCCCTTCTTTCTCCTCACCCCTCTCTAACTCTCCCGGCGAAGGAGAGAGCCTTGAAAATTATTAAGCAGAGTCAGCTCATGTGTCCTCTTTCTTCTCTGGATTCCCTGCCAGCAAAGACATGCACAGGTCATATTCCATCTAAATGCTGCTGTTATTCTCTTCCACTAGGGGCTCAAGATCTGGATCGCATTCGTTTGTCCACCTACCGAACAGCATGCAAGCTTAGATTTGTTCAGAAGAAATGCAACTGTAAGTATGTCAGCGCTTCTTTCGTGTCGCATTGTTACTAGCTTTGCCCTGCACTTCCCGGTCTGTCTCAAACATGCCAGTGATTCAGTCATAGAAGGGTGGGTTGTGATGCAGGCCACAGGTTTAATTAATAAATATGTTAACTACATTCTCCAGTTTTCTTATAAAATAACATTTGGGGGTGCCAGCAAGATCCTGCAAATTAAATGCTTTTATAGTAACTCCATGGAGAAGAAATGGTGGTTCCAGGCCTCGGCTATTTGGGGTGCAGCAAAGTGCGTGCAACGTCAGTGAGCCTTCTTTGTTCCAGAAGGTCATCTAGAGACATCTTTTCTAAGAGGGTGAACCTGCTTGTAATCTCTGCATGTCTGTCTTCTTCCATCTAGGCTTCATTCTTTAGGTATTTCCAACTTGATTAGTGATTTTTTTTTTTAACATTTCTTTTGAGATTCAGTCTTTCTTCCTTTACAGCTGCAGTTTCTGTTAGCACAGTCCAGAGAAAAGCTGTGAACTTTAAAAGGGAAATACATATAAAATCTGTAATGGATTGTATCCTTTCTTCTCCATCCAAAATACTTAGAATGGTGGGGGTGGTTCTATGTGTTTTACCAGACCTTTCCACACTAAGTTAAAAAAAAAAAAATCCTAACCAGGGGAACTGTTGCCAGCAGTAGCAGTAGGGAAAGGACTAATGCAGAGAAAACAAAGTTTTTAGTCTTCATATCTAAACTAGAATGACAGCCTGGCTACGCTTGTGCTACGCACAGTGGTAAATACATTAAGAAATGCTCACTGCAAATAGAGATTAACCATCCAGGAGGGAGTTCCTAGTTTTGAGGCTACATGTATCTGTGTTACAGAAATGTTTAGCTTATGCTGTCCAAACATAGAGGAGAGGCCAAGTTGTGGTGGAAAAGACTTTGGAGAGTGTTTATTGGGTTATTAGCTACGGAGCTAGTCTTTCAATCACTTCTGCAGCACATTTCTCGTGTTATAATATGTGAAGTATGAACTGATGGGTTAGTATCACACTGTAAGCAGGCTGCCAGGCACAAAACCCAGGAGGGGTTTAGTACCTGCCCAGCATCTGACTTCTCCCATTCAGAAGGAAATATGTTGCAATACACTATTATGTTGCATTCAGTTTGTTTTTTTTTAATTTTATGTTTAAGAGGCTAAAATGTTCGCTTCATTTTTTTCATAGTAACTGAATGCAATAGTCTGAGGTGACGGAAGTATCCAATTAAGTTGACAGTGATAGGAAAGTCGTAACACTAATTGCTTTGATAACTGTATACAAAGCAAATGAAAAAACCTAAACATGCAATAGCCTTGTTGGGAGTGGCTGGCTGGCTAAAAATATTGCTTGTTCATCTTAACTTTGTTCCTCTTATTCATCAACTTTGATTTGCTTTTGTGGAACTATTGCTTCTCTTCATAGAGAACCAATGCACATGCCCTTCAGTTTGCCAGCTTGTGCTGAGTCTTGCCTTCTGGTGGCCGTTGATAACCTTGGAGAAGTGATTTGCTGATCATATATCAAGAGTTATACTATATCAACCTCTTCTGATGAAAAAAAAAAGGAGGGAACTTAAACATAAATGTAGTCCTAAGAATCAGGATCTGTGCAACTTACGGAATAATGCTTGTTGCTCTGGAATGGGCTGAATTGTGTGTATCTTTTCACTGTCAAGTACAGTTTTCTTCTGGTTGTTTCTGGTAGACTGCTGCTCTCTCACATGGCTTTCTCTTATTAGTGGGAAAAGAAGTCATTCATCCACCTGATGTGATTTCAAGCAATGGCTGTCCGAGGCAGAGCTTCTAAGCATAGAGCCACTGAACCAAGCACTGCCCTGAAATGGTTAATATCAGACCTCTGGCTCATGTCAGCTACTCTTTTTCCACCACCCCCCCTACAGAAGTTATCATTATGCACTACCCAGTAGTAAGTTCAGGAGAGGGGAAAAAAAAAGGGACATGGGAAAAAAGCCTTTCTGCTGTGTCTGAGCTATTTCATTTAGGGAAGAATAGAAAAAGCAAAAGCTCAAAGGCAGTTCTGCTCCACTCCCAGTGCATAGCACCTCCTGTCACTCAAGCCATCCTTGTCTTCTTTCAGCTGTGCTCTCCTGCCCTGCCCTTGGCACACCGGCCCAGACTTACTTGGAAAAAATTGCTTGGAAAGAGTATATTTATGGGGTTCTATTAAAGAGCTAATTTAATAAATTGCAGGGAGCTGCTCTTGGCTACAGGCTGAAGGTGTGTGAGGATGGAAGCAGAGAGCCGCTTGAGTGCCAGAAGGGGCTGTTCCAAGGAAAGCAGAGCATGGGTTTTATTAACACCATCTTTTTTACCCGAAAGTGCTCATTAGCATAGACAATCACGGGATATCATATAAGAGGCAGCTACGTTTATCACAAAAATGCACTGTTTGTTTCTGCTGTCTTTAATGCAGGCACAGACAAGAGTTTGTCTCCTCACGTCCCTTTGTGAATTCGTCTCAGTACAAAAGGGTGTTTGGCTGTAACCTTCAGCACCTGGCTGGATTTTACTGGTGAAGTAGGCAGTGTGCAATGGGCAAAGGTGCCTTCGTGTTCTAAGAGCCATTCGCTTTTGCAGCATTTCTCTTAAACTAGTTAAACTATCTGGCCAAAAATTACAGAGCAGGTGACAGTTTACCACCATGTCCCAAAATACTACTACGTATGTTGCACTTTGAGTACTAACACTGTCGATCAAATTAATTGCTCCATGGAATTATTTAATTTTCACAAGAGGAAGACTACTTTAAAGATATTTAGCAGGCTTCAAAGTTGGAAATATATGTCTTTCTGATAATTCTATAAAACTTCAGGAAAACTACTAAGCATATGAAAAGTATTTCTTTTATAAAAGTCTCTCTGAGCACTTAAACCAACAGGCAGTTTAAATAAAATCAGCAAAGTGAGAAAAATCAGTATCAGTCATTGCAATTATTTGTCAAACAGGATAGAATTGAATCCAGTCCAGCCTCATCCTTCAGAGAAGCAAGAAATTGTTCTTAGGAACTCCTCTTAATAACTTTGTTATCTTTCAAAGAAAAATTCCTTCAAATTTAAACATTCCCCTTTGCCTATGTTAATGCTACAAATAAATAACAGTAACATTTACAAATTATTGTTGGCACACCTCTGAATCTGCTAAGTGGCCAAATGTGGGATGCAATATGTGAAAATAATCCCAGAATCTAGACACCCACAAAATTCTACATGCAGGAATCCTGAAAGTTGGGAGGCTTTGTTAGTGCACCATGAATCTAAACTCATTTTATGCTTCTCTATTTCTGCTGACAATTTCTAAAATTGGAAGTAATGAAAAGAGAAACTCTGTAGGTAATGCGGTACCTTTGAAGATGTGGTGGGTGTAGAAAGAGGTGATTGCAGGCTATTTGCTTATTACTTTGCAGAACTCCTGTAGCAATAGACCTCTTGCAATAGCAATAGTCTTCTCTTAGTCATAAATACTAACATAAGAGGTAGATATCTTTTCTGTAAAAAAAAAAAAAAAAAAAAAAAAAAATCAAAGAAGTACGAAGAAGTCTTGAGAAGATCTTGAGATTTGGGCGTGAATAATTATGCCGAGAGTCTTCTACAGAAGGACCTCAGAGAAAAGACTGCTGGTGGTTACGCCATCTGCAGAGCTCAGAATGTAAAGCACAAGTGTGCGAGCTGACTGGGGCTGCTCTGCTGGATTATGGTGTTGGATATTGTCTTGGAAATAGCAGCACCCTAATCATTTGAGGTTCAATTTCATTATTTGGGATAATAAAAGCAGATAGGAAGCAGGTGCGGAAACCTGATCAAACATGCTACGTGTTTATTCCGGTCTGCACTGTACAAAATGTACAAAATGTGAATAGCTGACTTCTTCCTCATCTAAATTTTCTGGATGTGTTTTAAAGGTGGCCCTAAATAGTTCACAGTGCAAAAGTCAAGGAGGGAGATGGAAAAACTACAGGTGAGCACCATGAGGTCTGCAACAGCCGCAGAACTTGAAAACCCTATGGACCGGTGTTGCTCTGACAAAGTCACATTGGGGTATTGTCCTTCGCTTCACCTCCAGTGCATCAGAACGGGTTGTGGAGCATCCAATATACATTCTCACCGTACTGACTCCTGCTCAGCTCCCCTTACTGCCAGGAAAATGCCATCTTGACAGGGTTGATTTACAGCTGTTCACCCATAGCATTCAGACGCAGAAGCGTAACAGGCTTTACTAAAACAAGGCATGAAAGACCAATGTCAGCAGTTATATGTATCTCTCAACTCACCAGTATTCGAGAACCACCAAAAAGCACAATTTATAGTTGTCCCCAATGATCATTGTGCAGCTGGTTTATTTTAATATTTGGTTTTCGGTGGATTTATTAAAACCCAATTGTTTATACAGAAAAACAAGCTGAGATGAAATATTGTGTTCACATGCAGATTCCCTCTGGGCTATGGTGGCAGCAGGAGTAGAACATAACAACATAGCGTAATCAAAACCATTATACAATTAAACATCACTCAGTAATACAGAACTGTACAGCTGGAAAACTGCTGCTATCCTTGATGAACTTTTCTGAATGTGTTGTGAGACTATTCTATGACTCTGGCTGGAAAAAGCAGGTTTTGTTGGTTTCCCTAGATCAGAATAAATCATTGGCAGTTGAAAGCTTGAATTTAAAGCCGTGCTGGTGATAGTAATACGTGGCTTAATTAAAGCAGACAAAAAGGGAGCTTGTTTCTCTGGCAGTTTAATCCCAGCACCTTAGGTTTTCAGTGTCTTTGTTTCTCCCTTCAATATTATTCTATATGTGAGTGATATTTTTTTTTTTTTCATTGTTTTGTTTTATCCAAGTTGTGATATAGCTGTTTCCACATAGGGGGCACAACTGCCATGAATGTGAATGTCCAGGGCAATCTCTTCCACCTCCACCCTCCTCTTCCTCCCCTCCTTTTTCTCCAGCCTCCTCTGGGCTT